ACTACAATAAACAAGACCAATGTAAGAGTCAATAGTACTTCAACTTCAAGATAATACGTTTTCCCTCAGTAGTATGATCTATCAATACATATATGTTTCAGTAGCCTATAGTTGTTTTGTTTAAGGATGTCTTAGAGGAGGCTGGAACTTACAGAAAGAATTTCCTTAAAACATGTTCTGCAGAACTGGGTTAAAAAAATAGCCAGTGCTGGAAAACAGTGAATTAGAGAAACAAGTAATTCAACCACTGTACTACAGCTCCTGCCCCAGTCTCTCTATTTCCTCAATGAGGAAGTCAATGTCAGACTTAGTTGCTGCTGGGTTTGAGATGACCATTCGGAAAAAGTTGACTTTATCGCCCTGAGGCTGATATCCAACCATGGTAGTACCTGACTCCATCATCAGTGCTTTGATTTTCGGTGCCACCTTTATCATTTAATAAAAAAGAGAAGAGAGAGAGAGAAAGAGAGAGAGAGAGAGAGAAGAGTAATTAAAATTTCTTATCCTTTCTTTGTATGTCACAACATTGCTTAATTTGGAAAAAAAAAAATTAACAGATCAGAAAGGCGCTAGTTTTTATAAAAATATCTATAACAAAAAGCTTGAAAAACTAAATAGGCAGGATTGAATATTTAAAGGAAATTGACAACAATAATATCCATCTTTTTGATTAATAGACTAATAGCATCCTAGAGTATTCGCTATGTAATAATTTTATATATTAAATGTACATGTAATTTCTTTGTGCTGAAGATTTTGTAATAAATAAATGTTTTCTGTCTTTTTATGAAAACCTACTCCAGAATCACCTTTCTGAGGGTAACTGATATTTTCCATGGGAATATCATGTATTCTCAAAGTCATTTTCTTGTGATGGGGGGGAGGGGGAACAACGATGGAAATTTTTCAAAAGTGCCTATGTCATAAAGAGTATTTTCTGTCAGCATACGCCATGGAAACCTTCCAGTAGTTTCCAGTTCCAGTGCAGTACTGTGCATTAACTGCAGTCTCACTTCCTCACTTTAATTTACAAGGAATAATGTTCTGACAGTCTTAATATTTGGTATTGACTGAGCCCAGTTTCTCCATCCAGACCTTCTTTCTCCTGCTCTACTCTCTGCCAGCCAAGGTCAGATGTCTGGCTTTTTTACTGTTTTGTAGGATGCTTTATAATGTCCTCTAACATTTAACAGGGTCAAGTCAAACATTTCATCCTTCTTATCAGTCTTATCTGTCTTCCTCTTTTCTCTTTTTTTGCAATTTCTTTATCTAACCTGACAGTGGGTTGACCCAGGAGTTTCTGTTCTCTTCTCTTTCCCCAGTGTGATGCAGACATAAAATCCTCTACAAAACCTCCCAAGTTCGCCCGTTCTTCTCCCTTCTCAAACATAAAAACCCCTACAATTCATTTTGACAACTATAAAATCATTCTTTTGTCTCCTGAATATATTTAATTCCACTTATGTCTGTCTAAAATGATACTACAAAATTAAATTAATGTATTTCACCTCCCTCATGTCCTAAGTAACACGTTACTTTCACTGGTGGTGCCTCTGCAATGCCTTCACTTCCTTCTATCATTTCTTTAACTAAATTTATCCCAAAGTCCTCCAAAGGATATTCATTTTCAGTAAAATGCATTAATGCATGACTAACCAAGTACATTTAAAATAAAAGTAAAGACTTGAGAAGATATACAGGTTTCCATGTCCTTTACCTGTCCCAGCATTTTCAAGTAATTACCCTTCTGTTTCTCCTGCTGATACACTGTCCTATTCAAACGGGACTGGGATGTCTTTGGGCCTAGCTACTTTTTAAAGATTCATAACACTTTTGGGAGCACAGAAGTGATACAAAATAAATGAACGTGGTCTGTATCTGCTTCTATAGGAGAAACGTGACTTCAACCTCAGTATACATAGGAGCTGAAGGTGAACCAATATCAAGGCCATAATAATCAATTGGAGAACTGATGTCCCAAAATTTGGAACATGTGTCAACACACAGATATGTTATTTTTAATAAACAGAATACTTTGGGTTCAAAGAACAGACTATAGTTTCACATTTAACAAAAAACACATACCCTGTGTAGCTTTTCTCTTCTTTCATCACAATCTGGCATGCCCCTGAGACTTGGCGGAATATACCAAAAACATACATTTGTATGCTCTGGCTGCAAAAAAGAACCAAAGACATACATCAACAAACAAAATAATACAGATCAGTCACACGCTAAAGGATAATCAGTAGCATATTTTAGCACAGACATGAAAGACGAAATATAGTACTGACTTTCCTGGTTCTGCATGTTAAAACAAAATAAATGTATTACGGTACTGCTGGTTTCATCTGCTGTCTTAGATGCCCTATACATTGTCCTGTTTACAATGTTTTAGGGCACTAATAAGAGCAAATGCTTTTCACCTTCATTCAGTTTTATGAGGAACTGTTTTCCAGGATCACAGCAAGGGCAACCCAATTTTCCTTTTCTTAGTAAATGGAGAGACAAAGCGTATTTGTTATCCTATCAACCGAGAGCTTATGCAATGGCACTAGCAACAGATCATACTGCAAAAATAGTAGATTCTCAGTTATGTATGTTATAATGTGGAATCTCAGAATGAGTAGACTATATTAAGGTAGTCTTCATGCCCTAAGTGGAGTAGTCCTCTGTAGAAGAGGAGAGAATTATTTATTTAAATCTGACATTTATAGTACAAAATCACATGCATTTGGCCAATAAAACACCCAGAGGCTAATAGTCATGCCATTCTTTAGAAAATAAGAGCAATTTTGCATAGCTGGTTTGAAGAACTGTGAGAAGTGCGAAGACTGTTTTCAAAATTCCATACAGTTTTGGGTCCTACACACAGCTTAAATGAAAGAAAACTTACCTCCCCTTCAAAAACCATCTCAAATTCTTCTCTGTTTTTTATTTTAGTGTAGAGATATTCTGCCAGCTCTAAGCATTTGTTGATCTGATTTTCAAATCCTACTGTACCCTGTTTTAAAAAGAAAGTTAGTATTAATTATATGGTCATTTTCCCTCCTCTGATGAAATCACCTTTTCATACAGCCTTCACTCTTAAACATTTTCAGTCAGAAAATATATAGCAGTATTATTTCTTGTAATTTAAAAGTAAAGTTAACCAACAATACAAAAGTGGCTAAACATGGCCAACTGTAATCACTATTTGGTTTTGGTTTCATTTTAAGATAATTTATTATGATAATAACATGGGCTTTTGGTATTTTAATAGATTATTTTTAGCTCTTTTTTTTTTTTTTTCAGTTTCCAAAAATATTAGGAGCATTAAGTCTTGGCTTCCCAGCTCTTGCTAAAGACTAGGAACATGGAATGGGAACTCAGTTGAAAGGGTAAGAGTTGGGAAGTAATTTATTTCCTCTGACCCATTTGCTAGAAATTTGCATTTAAAAAAAGTCAGCAAGCAAAGCCTGCAATATATTTGTTAAAAGCGATTTGCCTACCCACTGATCTTTTCTCATGTCTAGTTTGTTTTTAAAGATAATAATCCAAGAAAAAGTGGGTAAATGTTCATAACAAAATAAGAAAAAAACAAGTTCTGGATTTTTTTTGTAAACTACATTTTGTACACGAATGAAGAAGTATGAAAGGCAAGTACACTCTTACATTATTGCATATTTAGGGTAAGTTCTTTGTACTGAATAAAATGACTGAAGGTAAAGTCACAAGAATACTTCTGGACCTAGGATGTATATTTCTAATGAGGAAAAGAATATGATCACTCATGGTGGCTAATGCTCAAGGAAAAGTTTCCATAGCTCCTAATATTTTGTTTTCTTAACATTTTTGTAACACAATCATGCAATCTGCTAGAAACAAGTTCTGTCCAACACCTCAGAGAACTCAGGTTCAAGAAACCTCAATTTGTCTCAAGACCAAACAGAAATCCAAAGTAACAAATTTCTGGAGAAATGTAAATTCTAGATATACAGATCAACTTAGCAACTTTAATCTATATTATTTTTAAAGAATCACATCCACAAATACCCTACTTCTAAATTTTAAATATGACCCACATCCATTATGGGTGGGGGGTTTTTTTCTTTGTTGTGAAGTGCTCTACTACTTTAGTGAGGTCAGTTTAACAGGTGACTATAGCAGCAGAGGTAGAATCAGCATGCTGGTTTTAACAAAATGTATTTGGTTGGTATTTAGAAAGACATTCGGTGAACGCTTTGATGGTGTCTGTAGTCAGCACTTGTAATTAGAACCACAAACAATATACTTCAAAGTTGCTAATCACAGTCCGATTCTAATGTGTCATAACCAGTTTCACATTGCTGGATTACAGTGCCAAAATGATTTATTTTACAGGAAAAATTGAGTCTGAACCAAAATATATTTAGCCTTGTAATCAACTTATGCTGATTAATAAAGTAATTGTTGTAAGTATTTTGTGTCAAAGTGTTGTGTTTCTTCTTCTGAATTACTTTTTGAAATAAACAATGACAATTCTACAATCTGTTAAAAGTAACTGTATATCTAAAGTTCTGTTACTTTCTTCCCTCAGTCTTCAATATTGAGGAAATCTGCATGAAAACATCTTTTATCATCACAGGTTATTTACTATTGCTGTTTAGCTCTTACCCAAAGTGAAAATTGTTTAATGATTTTTCATTTTACCATCAGATTTGACCTCAGTTTTATAAAAAAAAGATTAGTCTGTGGACAGGTTACCCAACTGAATTCCCATTTTGTCAGCAGAAAATCAAGAAGAATAGAATAAGACAACTGCAGATAAAGAAATAAAAATGAAATGTATTTTCTTGGCTACATGGACCCCCATCTAACGAACACATAAGATTGTATGTGAGCCCATGCTTAAATTCAGCCATCCAGGCATACCACAGTAGTACCAAGGAACCAACTGTTAAATCACCAGTTGGACAAATCTTCTTAAGAAAAAGGCTTTGTTTTCGAAGTTGCTTATAAAATCTATGCATTGGAACATGATGCTCAAAGGACCCTTGTAAGTCATCAAGTCTACTCTGCTGCTACTGCAAGTAATCTGTCATAAAATACATATGTAAGTGTATAGAATCACAACAAAAGACCATTTCAGTGTCCTGCTCTCACCGATTTTACCGCAGGACTCATCTAGTGACTTAAATCTTTCTTCTAATTTCCAGCTGAATTTATTGATGCTAACATTGTTCTACGACTGAAATGACTCTCTTCTGACTTAATACTCAGATACCTGTGTGTTTAGAGATCATAATTACACAAATATTTGTTAAAAAAAAGTGTTCCATTACATGAGTCTTATAAATTAAATAAATACATTTCTGATTTTTGAGCTGAACTTTTATTGTTTACCTTTGCCTTCCACATCAACCAGAATTTGAAAATGTCCACATGTCGACCACACTGTATTGCCTTATCTCCAGTGTCATAGGATACATCATACTGTTTGTCTTGCTGGAAGAGATAGCCTGCACACATTTGATTGCAGCCTTGAAGTATACCCTGCAATGAAAAACAGGAACTTGTGATTGATATGGCATATGTGCATACGAAACTGTATGCGTTTATAATATATTACAAATGTATTTCAAATATATACAAAAGAATTGTTCTTTAATGGGCCAAATTATAAAATACTGACCTTGTTTTGTAAACCTGAGCCACAAAAATAATTTCACAACCTAAGGAGGTTCTCTTAGAAGTCCCTGAATAGTCATATGGTTTTACACACTCACACACACACACCTGAAAAAACATTCTCAGATTAATTTGGATTCTTAGTGTTTGATACTAATTTTGTCCTCTTCATTTTGTAAGGCTATGTTCTTAAGACTTAAAATTTTATGTGTGAAATTACACACTGGAATAAAGCTGTGGTCTCCTAGTGCAGCAGATAGTACAGAAAATGAAGGGAAAAAGAAAAGTAATTGAAAGCTTCAACTTTATATATTGTTCAGTTTTATGGCAGTTAATTTCAGTGATAAATATAAGTACAGATTACCTTTTTTGCTTACAAATAACTATGGTCCACAGACCAATGAAAACCTACAGATTACTGGTAAACATCTCTGAAGGAAACAGAGGAGCAAATTCTTTTATGTTACACAGAAGTCTTACACATGTGACATTTCTGAAACAGTTTGTGTCTCCTTTAGAGTTTATTAGTGGTTCTCTGAAGAGGCTCAAAGACAGTGGGGTATTTGATAACTGCAAAAACATCTATCAAAGTTCTCACATAGAGAATTAAAAAAATTGCCAATCCTGCAATAGTTAGTACAGTAAGCATGCATGCCACTGAACAGTGGCTAGTGCTTCCCTCCAATAGATGTCAAAGTGTTTTATAAATGGAAATAAATGCTGCAGTCTTCAGTTTAGATGTGGGTCACCTGGAAGAGCAATGACAGACCTAGGACTGGAACACACATCTCCTTCATCCCAGTTCTATGCACAGGGACCACTTTTTCAGCTAACCTTTTCCAGTGGCAATTGACATGCCAGAGATTAGTAGACAACAGTGTTAGTCCTACCCACAGATGATATGACTTTTTTTATCATCTCAGGAAAATACATATTGCTTAAAAGATTTTAAGACACTGGCCTTGCTTTCATTGATGACAATGAAGAATCTAGAAGAAAGCCCTGAAAATATATATGCAGTCATAATAAAAGCAGCATGTTTTCTTTTCAACAGAATTGAGAAACTTTTAAACCACTGTGTAAGGTAAAAAAGTTGCTTTTTATTTAAGCAGTTTAGACTGTGACCAATTACTAAGACCAAGGGTGTATGTCCAGTATATAACAGAATCAACGGGGCAGATGCTCAGATGGATTATATGAGCATGGCTCTGGTGCTGTTATTAGCATACACAAAGATTCAACAGCTAAAGATCTGACCCGTATTGTCTGCAGCTTTAACAAAAAACAAACAAACAAACAAAAAGCCAGAAAAGAAAAAACAACTTCCTAAACACAATGTAAATCCACACAACTATTCCTTCCAAAAGAAGTTTTGAAATTAAACGGATTCTGCACTACCCTCTTAAAAAGTAGGGCTTGCTATTTACTTGGGGTTTTTTTCAAGTGTTTAATTATTAAATATAAGGCAGACCTTCTCCCGGACGAGAATGGCAGAACATTGTAACAACACTCCCATCATCTTGTGTGGATTCCAAGTGACTGAGTTGGCTCTGCAAAAAAATTACACATTCAGATAGGTCTGAAAAACAGAAACTTAACCTGAAGCAGTCACCTTTGTTTTCTGCTTTCAGCTGGAAATGCATGGAGTTTTGACCATGATGATTTCACTATGGAGATTATTACTCTCTCAACTGTCTTCTTTCCCAGCTATACCATCCAGGAAAGGAATTTTTCTTTAACATTGCGCTGTCAGACTCCTGATTAGTTTATATTATTACTAATACCAGCTAATTAGTGTCAGACTATGCTGATTAGCTGATATAGTAACTTCATCCCCAGAAGACTGCACTTCTAGAAACAGCACTAATAAAATTAACATAAATGGTTTGACTGGTTATATTGATTCAAGGTACTGATTGCGTGAGGGGGTGTCACAGAATTAAGAGAATAATATGAATTCTGGGAGAATACAGTTATTTACTGAAAAGCTGCTGGAAAAGTAGAAAGCAAAAGAAAAGACATACCTCACGCTTATCTGCTTTTCCAGTTAGAGCCACAAGAGGCCTTTTCTGTACTACCTTGTCAAGCCCATGGGCTATCAAAAGGCCATAAAACTTCACATCACAATCCTACCATTCTGTATGTAAAACTTAAAACTTTTTACGTGTAAACATAGGCGGATGCACAAAATCATCATTTACTAGCCAAACAGATGAGATGTGCTGTATTTTTAACATACTGTCCTACACAGTTTAATGATGACACTAAAATAGATGTGCCAACATTGCACATCCATTGACCTCTTCACCCTAAGTAGTTAATTACCAAATGTCCCCTTGATTCACTGCGTGTTCCAGAGAAGGAAAGTGTACAATCATATTTTGCAGACAATGCATGTGTTCTTACAATGTGGTTGAAGCAAAATTCAAAGATATTTCCTCCTTTTCTACACAGGAAAAGACACAGAGGACACAGACACAGTTCCTCTATTTTGAGCAACATGACGACTCCTCCGCCTCAGTCTGAGTACCACTAACTCCATGAAGATTCCAAATAGGACTCCAGCCTTTGTCTGTGCTAGGTTAGACTGTAGCACCCCTCAGACAAAAGAACAGTGCAGCCTGTGCTATACCTGGGGAGCTGCCCATCCCTCTAAAATCTCCTGCTTAGGCAGTGCAAACCAGCAGATACATAGCTCAGACTTAGGAGGCAATTACCTTTTAAAAAACTTCAAGACTAGTTCAAATGGAGTAGTCAAGAAACAGGAATTTATATAACAGCTCATTTCCTTTTGAGAGTGCTATGGTTTCAGTTTAGCACATTTATTTAATTTTCAGGTTTCCAAACAAGTACAATTTCAAGTCATTTTCACAAGGAGCATTAGGTTTATTTTAACACGAAGATGTCACTCCACCCTGTGCAGCCAGCCAGACGGAGGCTATCCTACCACAGGCAATCCCAGCCCTATACCGTGGCAGCACGCCAGTCCTTACACGCCCGTGTCCCTAAGGAAGCCAAGGCTGGCCTGAGTGTTAGCAATAGACCCCAGCTGGGGCCTGTGACAGGCAATTACGCAGTACTCATGGCCCCATCCCATGTTTGAAGACTCATACAGCTGAGTAGGAAAGAAGCAATATCATGCTTCGTGGCCTGCTGCTTTTTGTATTTGCAGATTAATTGAGGGTGTTAATTAGTACCTCTGGGTTGACCCCAGGTCAAAAGAGGTGTGCCAAACTACTGTGACCAAACCTGTGCAACTTAAGAAAATTACTTTACAATGCTGACCTCGTATTAGACCTGTTGCCATAACATGAGTGAATAGCAATTTGGACTGCGCAGAGGCTGGTACAATTCTGCTGCTTCATAGTACTTCTGCCACACCACACACTGCTGTCCTTGGGACAGAAAGGTCCACATGGTTTTCCTACCAGTCCTTCTGTACATCATGCTTTGTCTTGTACTTGTTCTTCACTTACTGTATGACATGCCCACTACTAGGAAAGTTTGTTTTTCCTAAGGAAGAGCATTGCTCACTACTCTTATTTTACACCTTTACACAGTGCCCACATTCAGCACAGTTGACTCAAGGAAGCAATTTGGTGCTAATTTGAGAGTACATGGGTAGAATTTGTTTCAAATCTTTTTTGCTTCCCTGGAAGCTGATATCTGCAATGATGGGAAAGATCTTATGTTTCTGCTTCTTCATTGCTTTTCTGCTTTTTTTTTTTCAGATGGGCAGGCTTTTATGGTAGCGTAGTTTCAAAGGAAATCTAGAGACAAACACACCCATGGGTTTATAAACATAGCATCTTCTACAGACTACAGCCTTGTCATCATTTGATACAGGAACAACTGTGCCAAACTGCACATGGGAATCCTCCTGAGTCTGAATTGTAAGGGCTGGGGAGAGGGTCACACTCTCACTCTGCTACCACTTCCAACACAAATGCTTTGTCTTTCTAAATTTGGTTCAATTAATTTAACAAAGGCTGGCTTCTGGTCTCAGTGGGCATCTTGGTAACCTGGCTTATGTGCTTGGGGGCACACATGTACTGTTTTCTGCAGACTTCCCTCTGGCCTTTACAAAAGCTGCCTGCTTGTTTCATGTAATCCCCACATGGCACCGACTCTTAGGCTCCTGTGCCCTGAGATGTGACAAGTATCTGTGACTCACTCTGGCCTCCCTGTAAGTTCCCTCAGTCTTCTGCCTGGCACAGTAGAACTGTACCAGCTCTGGGTTATTATAGTCCTTTCTAGCTTTACAGGTACTGAAATTTGCCCCTAAAATTGCTGCTAATTCAGTCTCTACCATGTGTTCCTCTCTTTGTTGTATACACATATATATTTTTGTGTGTGTATATATATAAGCGATATAAAAGCAAGCATATAGATATATATTTATAAACTTTTGTTTACAGAACATTTTCAGGCAGAACATATACTCTGTATTTTCTGGAAATAACTGCAAACATCTTTCAGAAGAGAATCTCTACAAATTCCCACCATGACATGGCTTCCCATCATACGTGTTTATGCTCAAACACCTTCTCTGGATTCCTTATTTCTCACTGCTATTCTCAAAGTCCTACATTTTAGAGGTTGCCTAGCTCTCACACATTGTTTGTATCTCAAATCCTCCTTTACCCATTCCCAGACTTAGGGTCCCTTCAAAGCTATGTATCAAGCAATTTTCCTTCCTTTTTGCCAAGCAATATCCTCATCCTCCTTCAAATCTGCTGAAAACTTACCTTTTACTCAGCTGTACATCACCATTTTCCTCTATAGCATTGTTTCAATCTTCCTACTGCGAACCTTTTCTGTCTGTCTTGCTTTTGTTTAATTTAGTGTTTAAACTTCTTAAAGCAGCAAATTCATCTTTTTGTGAATTTGTGAAGTGTCACATACCCTATGAAAGTACTTTAATAACAGTATTACAAATAAGCACCATGTAGTACCTTTCTATTCCATTCAATTTATGACGATGCTTGCGGGACATTAAGAGTCCGCCTCCCCAGGCAGCCTGGAAGAGATAGAAAAGAGAGGAGATTCATCGTCTGGGAAAAGGCTAACATATTTTAATTTACTCAGGATCTACTAATAAATATTTTAATTCAAGACAAAATGTGTGTAAACAAAAATCCTCTTTTGCCTGAATAACAGCACTTCATTTAGTTACTTACATCTACATGGAGCCAGAGGTTATATTTTTCACATATGTCTGCAATCTCCTGTATTGGATCAAAGGCTCCATATACTGTTGTGCCTGCAGTTGCATTTACAAAAAGAGGAATGTATCCCTACAATAAAACCAAAAATATTAAATATAAAATCCAACCTCTTTTGGAAAAAAAGAAATATGTGAAAATCATTTTAGAAATGTTTTTTCTTACCATGTGAAAGGTGCATACAAGCAACAGTAGAAACTAACAAATAGTACACACAGCAGGAACAAACTCTGGTTTTATTGTACTGTAACTTCACGAAAGTAACTAGTCAGAAGTTAAGAATATTACTTTGTCTAATCTCTTGCGGTGAGGAGATTCAAGCATTCTAGTAGAAGACTGGCAATAGTCAAGTAAACTTGGGACTTTTTCAGCAGTATAAAGGAAAATTAATTAAATGTGATTTGTAAGTTGTGATTTGAAAGCTTGAAGTTGTTCCTTTAGTCTTTATCTACTAATAAACAGAACAAAGCAGAACAAAGCAATCGAAACCAAAAGCAATAAATGTGGAACTATCAGATCAAAGTGAGACAATTTTGAATCACATAAAATAAATGTGAACTGCAATTTCATAGACTGTCCAAATGTAAAGAAGTTAAGAAATAAAAAATTAATAATCTTGATCGCTTTAACTTTGATGCTTTTACGCAAAATTAATGGATTCTTCATCGCATTGATTCAAGAAATAACAGTGAACGCCTCAAAAAATTTAACTTATTGGCTGTATTTACTAAACCTGCAGCCTTACAAATTGAAATCTGTGGGAATTTTTAGGATTTCAATAGAATATTTGATCATTTTGGCTAAACTTTAGAGTTTCAATAAAAGTAGGTTCAGTTTCACATTTTTGTACTTTTTTCTGTATATTTCCAAACAGAAAGTTATTTTTAAAAGCATAAAATACGATGTAAACACAAGAGTCGGAAATACAATGGTTTTAAGCGGTAAATGGAAAACTTAGCAAGACATATAGATAATTCCCTAAACAGTAAATGAATGTATAATTAAGCAGATGAAAATATTATTATAATATTTATGTCACTATAATGTTCTCTTTTAATGTTAAACTTCAGCTTTCAAAGGAAGAGGTAATTTTACTAAGCCAAACATTTAAGCACTCATTTTTTAAAAATACAAACCTTTTGTTTTGCTTCCAAAATTTTTGCCTCCAAATCAGCTGGTATTATTTTGCCTCTGTAATAATTGTAGAAACAGAAAGATAAAGAAAATTAAAGAGTGCATATGGAAACACCAGCTACAGCTGAAATAATTCAATAGGATTTTCTCAACAGGCCATTAGCAACTTGACGCACTGTACTGAACCAGTCCTCAAGCACAATACAACAAATTTAACAGATTAACACATTTAATCAAGACCTTAGCATTCATCTCACCTTTCATTGCATTTTATCAAAATCACATTGTCTGTTCCAAATCCAAGTGCAGCTCCAGCTTTCTTTATTGAGTAGTGACTCTGCAGCAAAACGTATGGTTTTTTAATGATGAGGTATCTTCACAACATACATCAATAAATTAAGAATTAGCAGTGTATTAAGCTCACATGTTCTGAGGTAAAAAGAACCAGTTTAGGGACTGCAGCCATGCCTCTGGTTTTGACTTCAGGGAAATACTTGTAGCGTGCAGCCATTATGCTGTACATGTTGGAGATAGCTCCTCCTGTGAATGAACAAATGAATGAATAATAAGATAGTGATAAAGAGAAAAAAAGCATGTTAGACTAAAGACATACAAGGCTCATTTGCATTATGCAGTGGAAGTGGCAGTGAACTATGAAAAAATAAATCTCTGAAATGCATGGTCATCTGTCTAAACATCATAGAGACAGGCCCGCTAGAAAGTCATACTGATAGTCAGAACTTCCTATCCATCACCTCTTTCAATTGCCTGCATTTCTAACATATTCCTAAAAAGTTTAGCTTTCACCATGCTGCTTTTGCATGACATCTTCTTGTTAGCAAGAATAACGGGAACTTATCAAACTGTCTGAAACTGAAGAAATGTCGCATCCTGGATGGATTTATCTCATCTCGCTGTAGATATAGAAGTAGATGCCTTAAAGGTAGATTTGTACAAGCTAGTTATT